GTCCATGGGATCCAATGTTCTGAGAAAGTCTAGAAGACATGGGGGGACATTCTGTTGTTTCTTACTCATATTCACATTCCTCTCCAAGATCCATGACTTAGTCTTGTAGACCTCTGCAGTGAGTCCTGTAATGGTTAACTTCTGGGTGCCTTCATCATAAGAGAGTTTCATCTCAGGAGAAATGTCCAGAGCAGCTTTCTGGAGCCCCTCCTGCTTCAGGATGTAGAACCATGCAGGGGGCAAAATCATTTCCTCAGAGATGCTGTTTGTCTGCCGTTCAATGTGACTCATGGCTTTCAGAAGAATGTTCTCCACAGGAGCCCTGATTCGTTTCATATCATCAGCTCGGCCAGCAACAGTCAGAACCCCTTTGGATGCATCCAGCACCAGGATGGCATCTTCCTTCACAACTGAACGGACATCTTTCTCTGCAGCTCTCCATCCCGGTGTATTTGCTTGACATTCGAATGCCATGTACTGAGACATCAGGCAACGGAAGGCATGTTGGGCCTTACTCATCCAGTTTTCTACATGTTCTGCAGTCAGACCTTGCTGCCTCAAAAACTCTGGCACAGGGCTGAGTTTCACTTCAGGGTCATTCAAATCCACTCTGCAGAAGTGTGGACGCATCTGATCATTGATGTGTTCTGATAGTTTCTTCTCCACAAGGAATTTCCAGATAACGTGGAGAACAGGCTCTGTGAAGGGCTCGGGCATCTTCCATGTTGGTCGTTCTTTGCTGTACAAGGCGGTTCCCAGTGACTTGTAGTATGGATATACCTTCACTGTGATAGATTTCATCTCAAGGTCTTTCTTTACACAAATCTTTTCCACAACTGCAGCAAACAAGGAGCAGAGAAGCAAAGGTTAGGTAAGTGGTGTTAAGGTTTTTTTTTAATGTTTCTATAAAGATTTATCCAAGTCACAAGGGGTTTTGAACCTTTTTTTATCTGACATAACCCCACAGACATAAAACATTCTTCTATAACTCCTTTCATATTCAAATTATTTCATCCATCCATCCATTCACTTCCGCTTATCCTTTCCAGGGTTGCGGGGGGCACTGGAGCCTATCCCAGCTGTCATAGGGTGAGAGGCGAGGTACACCCTGGACAGGTCGCCAGAACACTAACACATAGACGCAGGCAACGATTCGCATTCACGTTCACTCACAGATTCACACCTATGGGCAATTTAGAGTAATCAATTAACCTATCCGTCAGTCTGCCCCAGGGCAGCTGTGGTTACAACTGTAGCTTGCCTCCACCAGTGTGTGAATAGGGTTAGGGTCAGGACCCTCTTGCTGTGCGGCTACCATGCTAACCACCGTGCTAACCAACATGCCACCGTGCTAAATAAACCTTTAGGGTCGCTGAAAGTGATGATGGCAGCCTGTTCAGTTGGGATCATGACAATTTTGGCCGGCAGAGTCCAGGTCTTCTCAAAATACAGCTCCAGCATGTCTAGAAATAAGACAGAAATACACAATTTTACAGCTGCTTAAAGGATAAATTCAATTTCTAAAGGTTCGTCTCCATGAAATTTGACAATAACGTGAGGTTTGTGTAATGATGAATGAGCTCAGGAACAGCAGAACCCCCTCAGGACATCCAGCATTCATTGTAAATAACATGACATAACTCTTGTTTTAAAACACATATTTATGCCGTAGATAAAAGTCAGCTCAAACTGACAGATATAACTTTTCCAAAACATCACAAAAAACTCTAATAATATAGAATCTACTACGTGTGAGAATCTTTTTTTTTTCTGCAGGTGTTTTTCTGAAACAGTTTTGGCAAGAAATCCTGAGACATGCTAGGATCTACAATTCTAATAATTCATCCCATATATTGAAAACACACTGTAATATGTGCTGAACCTCACGAAAGAGGAAAAAAACAGATCTGTTTTTTTATTATATTACACACATATTACAGTGTGTTTAAAGAAATTTAAAACCCGGATAATGTGAAATGGTAACAACAAAAAAAGAAAACCAGGAGAAAAGGAATCATCAACAAATATGCAACAAAGCTTTAAAATACACACAAATACACACAATCAGCAACTTCACATGAATCAAGTCCCTGTCAGGACTCTTGCTGCAACATTTTGGATTAACTGAAGGCTTTTCAGGGAGTTTGTAGGACTTCTGATAATAATGAATTACAGTCG